GGGGGTGGAATTCAGGTCCTGGTCTTCTACCAGGCCAGCCATGTAAACTTGGGCAAAGGAACTTCTAAGCCTAAATTGCCTGTGAAACAAGAGGCCGTCATCCACTTGCATGGCTTTTGGCAGGATGGAGATAATGCAAGCTAAGTACCCAGCACGCAGTAGGTACGGGAACAGCAGCAATTTCAAACACCGCAAAAGTCATGGGCACCAGGTAAAGATTCTAGTCCTGGGCCCAGCCCTTGCTCATGGGTGACCTTGGCCCTCATTTCTCCCTATGATTCACATATGTCACAAGAACAACGCCGCTGATAATGTCTTTCTAATGTGGAGAGGGTGGGAGCTCTAGCATTCCTTGACATTGACATTTAGCCCCAGACCATGGCCAAGTGTCTTCTGGATCAGAAGGACCAAGGCTGGAAGAGGAACACGTGGAGAGAGATCAAAGAAGGTATGCGTGGCAAACGCGGGTCTGTGGACAGCCCTTTACAGTGTACAGATGGCCTGCCTCTGATGCCCCCGCAACGAAGGCAAGGCTTCTTATCACCCGTCGTACAGACAAGAAAGGGGCCTGGCAGCGTCGCAGACTTAGGTTAGTGAAGGACATGGAGCTTGCATCCCTGTCGCAGCCCCAGCCCTTCTTCTGCCGGAGATCATGCTGTGCCCCCAGAAACGAAAACCAAATGTCCCGGCAGCTCCAAGTTTATTGGCCATAGGGGTCAGGTTGTTGTTGAATTCTGGAGAGCACCTGAGTGACTGCAAGGTCAAGGGAGATGGGGTCCGTGTGCTTGCCTGGACGATCTCCCAAGGGAAGTGTAGGTGCCTCTCAGTGCCTAAGTGCTTCCAAGTCTGCATTGCCTTTCTGGCAGCTTGCGTGCATTTCCAGCGGCGTTTCTGTTCATGGAGAAAAAGACGACGACGAAAAGCGTGTGTGCACACGGGACGGAGTTGTTCGTTCTGTGCGTGTGTGTGTTTGCTTGCACACGCGTGCGCACACATCTGTGTATGTGTATGAGAGAGTGAGTGAGCGAGACGGTAGGCGTTGGAAACAGCAGACAAGGAGGGTGAGACTAATGCAATCTACAAAGACAAATAGAGAGGGCCGAGAGGAGGGGGCACGTGTCCATGCCTTTCCCAAGCTCCTCGGCTCCGTCACCCCCGAGAAAGGATGTTTTTCACCTAAAGATGACACTAGCCCTGTGTTTCCATAAGGAGAACCCATGGCTGGAGATATCCCCACAATTAAATGCCTGTCACCCCCCCTTGTAGGATTTTTTATCCTATCATAATTTCCCAAGACTGTCTACGAGAATGAACTTCTACATTTCCATTTGAACTGCAATGCACTTTTGAATGTCAGCTGCAACATTCCCAGATGACTTTTCCAAGGAGTTTTGGTTATTTGAACGGGAGTCATAGGGTTGAGGGTGCGAGGAGGAGAAGGCAAGGTGTAGTCAAATGGCACCTCCTCTTGAGAACAGTTGTGGCCAAGGGCCTGATGTGAGCTGGGGAATTATCCTCAGCTTTCAGTCTCCTGAGGGAACTTGCTTCAAAAACAACCAGCAGAGACTGAAGGGGGCTGTATAGGCAACGTTCTACTTCCCTAGTGGTTTCATGATCCGGGGACTTGTCTCCGTTCTCCTCTCATCTTTCAGAAAGACTTTGCAGAGGTGACTGCTTGCTTCCTGCCTGGGGCACTTGCTGTGTTTGCTTCCTTAAGACCAGCTCTCTCTGGTCTCCTACCTCTTTTCCTGCCCAGTCCTTCTCCATCTCTTCTATAAATTAGTGATGTTGCTGCCTCACGTGGCCCCTTTTCTGGGCCTTTTCTGGGTTTTTCTCCATGAAGAATTCCCAACACACTCTGTTTTGCCCTCCCTGCTCTGATAATACAAGCCCCAGTGGTATAGTGGGTTATGTGTTGGCCTGATAACTGCAAGGTTGGTAGTTTGAAATCACCTGCCATGCTACAGGAGAAAGGTGGAGCTTTCTACTCCCATAAAGAGTTGTGATCTCATAATTCCACAGGGGCAGCCCTACCCTGTCCTATAGGATCTCTAAGAGTCAGAATTGACTCATTGTCAGTGATGATTGAGACGTTATAAAACTCACTGCCACTGAGTCCATGCCAGCTCATAGCGACCCAATGGATAGGGTCGAACTGCCCCTGTGACTTTTCAAGACTGTAACTCTTTATGGGAGTAGAAAGTCCCTTCTTCTTCCTCTCTCAGAGCCACTGGTAGTTTGATTAAGGTGATGGACTGCTAATCCATTGTGCTTTGCACATGTACGTTTGCGTCCCATCCTTATCGGTCACGTTTACAAGACAACGATAGTTGTCATTTTTGACATCCAGCTCCACATTTTCCTCTGGTATTTGCCATCATGCAACCTCGCTCACCTGCCTGAACCTCATGCCACATCTTCAACTCAGGGCATCCCCATGCACAGTGTGGTCAGATAATTACAATCCTTAGGGTTTTCGTTCGCTGACTTTTGAAATGGATGGCCAGGCCTTTCTTCCTAGTTCTTCTTAGTGTAGAAGCTCTGCTGGAGCATCCAAGCCTCCACTGATGAAGGAGTGGTGCCTACACAGGGAGTGCATGGGCTAGAGATCAAACTGGGTCTCTTGCATGGAAGATGAGAATTCTACCTCTGCCCCTGGTCCTTTCCTAGCATTCTGTTTTCATGAAAAAATATATCATCTTCTGTCGAGAGGCAAAGCGGGAAACCTAGGAGTTGTTCTCAGCACCTCCCTCTCCACCATCACCTCTTGTTTGCCAAACCATCCCAGGATCTTTCTGCTTTAGTTCTCAAATGGCCTTGAATTGGCTCATTTGTCTCCCTCTCCCTCAGCCCAAGCCCAAGCCACCATCATCACTAGGGTCCTGCCTGGTCTCCATGTTTCCCCTCTCACCCAGCCCACACTAGGCATGCCTCTGAGAGGGATTGTCCATACCTCCCTGAAAATCCCCTTCGGGC